TCTAAAAAATTTTTAACAGAGAGAACTCAGAATTAGTTTGACTGCAACATCGTTGTCTCAGGCGGGATACTTTTTCCTCGGAAGACATTTGCTTGATATGACACATAAATGCATCTCAGTCTGACATCTCTCTCTCTCTCTGCTATATCAGACTTGTTCTGACATATAATCCCATTTACATATTAGACCTGTTCTGATGTATAAATATGCCATTCCAAGACTTGTTTTGATGTATCTGTCATATCAGGCTTGTTTTGATGATATATCCCAAGGACAAATCAGACTTGTTCGGAAATATCCCTATGCCATGTCAGACCTGTTTACTGCATCTGAGGCAGGTCAGTAATGCTAAAACTAATCGGTCAGTATAATTTATCTAACTTCAACAGGTAAAGAAAGTCTAATTTTAATAAAAGCAGTATCTCACATACTTGTAGAACTCTTTGTTCTTCAGAACCAATTGTACATTGAACCATAAAAGTAAACAGGTCTATGCATCCCTATGCCATGCCAAAATTTGTTCTGATAAATCTCTGTGCCATATTAGATTTGTTTTGACAAATCCCTATGCCATATCTGACTTGTTCTGGTGTATGCCTTGTTTTCTTTGCCAACTCTGAACAAAGTACATGTGTGATTTTGTGAATATACACCACTGTTCCCAGAAATAAATAGCAGCTTTTGTTTTCAAGATTTTTAGTTATTTGTGCAGCTGTTTTTGTGAAGTTTAGGAGCATTTACATTTGATATATTTTGTAAATATATGCCATTTATTATCATTTGTATTTGTAGAAAACATACCATAATTATAAATAACGTGTTAAATTACATTATTGGCTCTTTTATGAACACATTTTTTAATAAATATAACCATGAAATTTGTGATGAAGGCATTGTTACAAAGAATTTATGAATTATTAACTATTATTGTATTGAATTGGTATTAGTTGCTGGAAATGATTGGTTTAGATTGTTTTTATGTTTTATAGCACATCAACAAAAGTAAGGTTATTTGATGTCAAGGCATTTGGGGCAAAGTATTTTTCCCAATGATGCACACAGTAGTAAACTGTTTCCAGTAGAAAGATGCTTGAAATTGAAATGAAAGTTATGTCTAAGCAGGCTGATGCTGTTGCATTGAGAATGAATGTTGACAATTTGAGACACAAGAGCATAAATGAAAGTGCCAGTCTGCATGGTCATATAGGTGCATTTATTCATCTTAAATATTAATTGTTCTAAAATTGAATCTTAATATAGTTTAACCAAAGGCCTATTCATTGTTGAGTGCACAGTATCTTAACTGTCATCAATAAACTTCCTGGTGATAAAGATTGGTTGCTATGGATATTTTATAACGGTGGCCAGGTAATAAACTTGGTCAAGAAAGGATGGCAGTTCTAATCACAACAAATAAAATGGTAGTACATCATTTTAAACACATTTGGCTCTCATTGTGACATCACAGTGCATGATATTCAACCCGATTCTTACTGTATTACACCTTTAGATTGATCTTAATTTAATTTGATATGCAGTATGTATTTTGCTAGTTACATGTATATTGACTTTCTGAGTAATTTGGATGCATTAGGATCAAAATAAAATTTGCATTTAAAGATGCATGAAATCAAATTCTAAATAATAACACGCTGAAAGACTACTGTTGGATTGATACTATGTATTGATGTAGTCTCTACAAATGCATATCAAGCAGTTATAACTCCCTTGTACACAGTTTACATTTTTTTTAAAGATTAATTTATCAGTTACATGGGTAACCAATCAAGTTCACCAGCAGAATTTGAACAATTTGTTGTTTGATTTAATATTCAGTTACAGTAAAATCCAATACTAGAGACTGTAGTGGATTTAATATACATCCAGACCATAATAGCTCAAGCTAATGTTTTATAAAAATTAAAACATGATTATTGATACATTGTATCAACACACTAATACATTTTCATATCATGATGGCTAAATTATGTTTTAGTTGTCTTAATTTGCATGGATCACATTTTAAACTATCAATTCATTGATGCACATTTTTGACATTTCAACACTACAAATTTAAATTTGTATGCAATGCAATTGTGTTGTATAGATGTAGGGAATTTGTTAATATCCAGTTGTGAAAAAATTACATCATTAATATTACAGTGACATCAAACTGTTTATTGACAAAAATATTGTAAATTAATGATGTATTCACTTGAAGAGCACCCATAAAGATTATGCAAAAGTGCTTGAAGGAATAAAACATGGATATTTTTCTGATCATCTGTTACATTGATATATATATATATATATATATATATATATATATATATATATATATATATATATAGAGAGAGAGAGAGAGAGAGAGAGAGAGAGAGAGAGAGAGAGAGAGAGAGAGAGAGTAGAAGAAGAAGAAAAAACTGTATATGACAATTGCTAAGTGAAGGAAAATGGGATTATCATAATGTCTTTTGGTTATTTTTACCAGGATAAATTATTTATGAGACAACCATACCAATGACATAAAAACCCAGCTACATTTTTCAGTTATGTCCCTTGTTATCAATAATGGTCATAGACCAGAAGAGCTGATGGGATTTGTCCATTTTCATCTTCCATTATCACAAGCCTGTTATCACTAAACTTTCTAAACTATTTGAAGGAATGCCATGAAATGTGATGCACATTCATTTCAAGCTCCTGTAGTTTCTAAGTGACATCCATACGGTGGCACAACAACAGAATCCCTGAAAATCTTATTCGTGCTATTCATCATGAGTCGATGGTCATATTAACATGGGGTTTACACTGAAATAGTTACTATGTTGTCTTAATGCAAATAGTGCTGATCTGACATGTAATTTGGCCACCATCTGGAAAATTTATTATCACATCTCCTCCTGAATGGATGATAATGTTGACATGTGGTTTCCCCCTGAAAGACTTTTTATGACAGTTAATTAGTCCTAAATGAAATTGCTACTGATCTAAAATCTCATATACTCATAAAAGACTTACTGCTATTCCTTCTAAATCAATGATCATGCCGACGTAGGGTTATCACCCAAAAAACTTCATGATGTTTAGTAGGTCTTAATGAAAGAGTGGTGTAAGTCTGAAATTCAAAATGGCCACTATGACAGCCATCTTGAAATTGTTGTAATTGTTACTACTAATATAAATGTCAACATGAGATTTGTATTAGAAGTCTAGAATGATGTTGATTTCACATACTTTATGGTCACTATGGCAACTGTCTTACAAATTGTGTTATCACTACTCCTCCAGAATGGATGGCCATATTAACATGGGGTTTTCACCAAAAGACATCTTACAGTGTCTGGTTGGTAATAAAAGTAAAAATTAAAGCTTTAATCTATGGTTGCAATCAGTACCAGATTTAGATATAAGCCAAACAAGCTACAGCTTAGGGCCCCAAAGTCTGAACTCAGTCTAAAGGGGCCCCTCAAATTTATTTTATACCAAATATAGCTTCCCATAGCTTAGGGCCTCGCTTTGTCTAAATCCGGCACTGTTTGCAGTCATGAAATTTTGCTATTACTCCCCTTGAATGGATGGTTATGTTGACATGGTCGCCATACTTGGTTCCTAATAACACCACAGCAGACAATTTGAAGATTTTGTATTGCTGAGGAATATTAAATATGAATTCAGCACTTGGCAGTTCAGAAGAAGAAATGGCCTTTTGTGGATTCAAGTATTTATTTTTAGATAGTATAGTTTCATTTGACTTCTTTCAGTAAATATTGTTTGATATTGTTTTTCCACATTTTTATAGGCATACTTTTTATACATTTTTGAGCTTACAATGACAGTTATGATGCATATGCAAATACTGTGACCTATTTTTGTCAAACCGGTAATGACTTGTGACCATTATAACACAAACAATTAATAAATATGGTTTCATCTAACCTGGCTAGATTACCTTGAATTAGTGCTACTTCAGAACTGTAGTTGGTAGTGAAAAGAACAATTTAAACAAACAGTAAATTACTAAGTAAAAACTAATTGGCCTGTTGGATAACTTTAATTAACAATTCAAACAAACAGTAAATTACTAAGTTTAAACTAATTGGCCTGTTGGATAACTTCACAGTATCTGATATGAGAGTAATAAAATTTAATCAAGGACTACAGATTCAAGGTCAGTAGGTCATAACTAACATTTTGTACTGTACTTAGCTTTTTAACAAGGTAACAAGGTAAGCATCAAGGAATTATATTCAACTTGTTGGAGTTTCTCAAGAATATATATCACATTGTTTAAATACTAGGCAGATGAAACAAATGGAGGTAAGAAATTGATTTGGATACTGTCAGTCAGTTTGATGGATGACTGTTTATTCAATTATTTTTAGTATACAGTGTTGTTTGTCCTGAATTGCTGTCATTTTTTAATAACTTCTTCTAAAATGGATTGAACCTTGGTATAAAAAAGGAAGGTCAAACGGTCTGTATTTTGTTTGATTGTTTTATTATAAAGCAAGTTTTTTCAAAAAATATGGGCATTGTTACTGACAAGCAACCCCTGCCCAAAATTCCCATCAAGTAACTTTATATTGGAAGGAGTCCCCGAATTCAGCTGGGTGGGGTGTCTTGCTATTCCACTTAGTTCACTGTACATAAGTCATGTATTTATAGCCCATTAGTGGCCGAGAAAACAATACAATGTGAGGGTGCTGATCATAGATGGGACAATCACAAAATAATTGGAACATAGTGCGTTAGTAGCATATGATCATGTTGCTTGAGAAGCAGATAATTGACACATGAGTGTTTTGCAGGAGAGATCAACCTTTATTAAAATAAATGTATATTTTCAGAGCTGTGTGTTGTCATTCGTTTAATAATCCAGTATCTCTTGCTTTCTCTGTTTTCTACCTTTTTTACATCTAGTACAAAGTCATAAATCTAAGCACAACCAGATTTACCCTGCTTGTATGTTCATTCATTTTGTCTTTTATTTAGTGACCGTTCTGGTGCACTAGTGGTAAAAGCATCCGCCTCAGATGCGGGAGGTCACGGGTGCAATCCCCGGCTGAATCATACCAAAAACTTATAAAAATGGTACCAACAGCTACCTCGCTAGGCGCTCAGCATTAAGAGGTTAGTGTTAGGACTGGTCGGTCTGGTGTCAGAATAATGTGGCTGGGTGAGACGTCATGCTATGTGTCAGCAGCATGATGTCCTAGTGCTAGACATCAGTATAAACTAACACATTGCAGACATCTTAGTAATTTTGGCGGTCGCTGGTTCTTTCCGGATTTTTCCCAGTTTCTTCCTCCGCTATTTATATTGGCTGCCATGTGTAGCATTTCTTGTGCAGAAAAATGGCGTTAAACCCTGCAACAGCAACAGAAAAGAGAGAAGGCTGAATGCAAAGAATTTAACAGTATTACCAGATCTATGGACATAATGAGCAGTAGTGAAAAGTCTGATGTAAGTGAATATTCATTCTACATTTTAAATGGTAGATTTGGATGGGAAATAAGTGAGGGCATGAAGTGTATGTTTGACAGGATTGAATATATAATGATGCACATACATATCAGTCGATAATTCAAAGCTCCTATAATTATTCATCCAAATGGATAATAAATATAAACGCTTACATCTTAACAAATATACATGGCATGGTTTTTATGTTGGTGAATTAGTGCAAAACTTATGGAGTCATAATATGTATAGACCAATAAAATATGGACAGGTTAGGTGGCAAATACCTCGGAGCATTATCCACCAGTTCAAAAAAAATTGGAACTAAAGTATGACATCTTAACTGTATTAAATCGTTAAAGATGGATGTAATAGGGCAGTTAGAGTGAGATAAAGTGAAAAACAAATTTGATATATTTATTCCATATTATGAAACTGAAAAGTGCCATTATGTTCGGATCAAGATCTGTTTAAATTGGCATCTTCATGAGTAAGAAAACATGAAAAAGAAAAGTATTTATCAAAAATGTTTTAAAAATTTTTTTTTAAATCAATAGACAATAACAAAAAAAACCCCAAATCATTTTTAAATGTAAACCTATCATCAATAATTATTTAAAAAATTTATTTTAAATATTTTACAAATATTTTGTATTCTATTGTAACATTTAGTGTAATATCAGGATGCAAGTAAAGTGTTCTAGCTATTCACAAAACTAATTATGCTTTTAAAAAGATCATTTCCATTTAATATCATATTAATTTCATTTGTTTTACGCAATCACTACATCTCTGTTAAGCTGTATTTCATTTTTAAATTTCACTCACTCGCCCTTCTTGTGATACTTATAACATAAATTGGTACATCTAATTGTTCCATTCATTTCATTACCTAAATTTCAAGTACTTATGGTTATGTTTTTAAACTTGATCCTCCAAACATGTACATCCACACACAATAAACCTGAAATGTTTCATTGAAGAAATGCCTATATCTGACAAAATATTTATTAATATTCTTTTGTTAAATGTTATTATAACACTATCAAGATGATTTAGAAGGAAACTGTGCCACAAACCTTATATACAATTAATTTATATTTTTAACATATGCATAAACTGTAAACCTTATCATGGTCATACTCACGCCAAAAAATTGACCGGATAATTATAAGAATGTGTGTGTGCGTGTGACTTCGATTTTTAACATAGCTTTAACAATTTGTTCAATCATATCGCAACGATATCTGCAGAGTGGCAGTTTATAAATTTGTTTAGCACTGGTGCATCGTGCTGCAGACATGTGACATCATGCCCCACCCAGCCACATTATCCTGACACCAGGCCGACGATTTCAAACACTAACCTCTTAGTGCCAAATAAAGCAGCTGCTAGCACCATTTTTATAAGTCTTTGATATGACTCGGCCGGGGTTCTAACCTATATCCGAGGCAGACACTCTTACCAATTATTAGGTTACCAGAGCAAAACAACTAACGAATTGGATACCTCTAAATACGCAAGAGGAAATGAACAGTTAGTAACGAATTGGATGAATACGTTCACCGTAGAGTTGACCTTTAACCCCAGTGTTTGGAAATGTTGCGTAATCTAAATATGAATAAGCGTAGGTATAAAATTAAGATAACTTACTAGTGGAAGTGATGCAGTCATTGATTTCCCCAGAAATGTTTATTAGCATCGGGGTAAGTGTGCTCTAACGTCATAAAATGTGTTTGAGAAACTCATGGTTAAAAGGAAAAATATTAAATATTAAAAGAAATACACGTATGTTAATTGAATTCTTTATTTCCTGAAGTTTGAACGTGATTTAATGTCAAATTTTAGTTCACATACATTATAGCCATCGTTTCGTCACATCCACATGTACAAATTAAAGTCTTTGAAGCAATATCCCACTGCACTAATTGTCACAAGATAATTCAGCACCCTTTGCGGCAACATGTTGCAGAGAAGATTCGTTCAGTATTTAGAATCCATGTGTTCCCACCTCCGAGACACTGTGTATACTCGGCCATTAGTGCGTATGGGAAGATGGAGAGGAAGACCTTTCTCAGTCTGAAAGAATGAAACATAAACGTTTCAAATTAATGTTCAAACAGATTTTTAAAAAACTACCTGAATGAAAACTATCAATTATTTCATCATGTAACGCATTATAATTGCAATCAAATTGTTTAGTTTTGGAAATATTTAAAATATAAACAAAGAAGTAAGCAAATACTTAGTGTTGGCATGTTATCAAAATAGGTGCACATGGAGACAAAAATTGCTCCTTTACTTACATAGAAAAGATCTGAGAAATTAATAGTGCAGTGTCCACTTCAAATAAAGATTACTTATCAATTATTTTTCTCTTACACGAATTATGTAAATATAGGAGCAACTCGTGGAAAAATGCAATTTTCATTCCTCTCAAGGGTTTCTTGAAATTAGTGAAAACGCGAACCATCACACCTACAACTACTGCTACTACTATACAAAATTAAACAAGTCCAACTGTATTAATCGTCTGATTTTACAGAAACAATACAAAGGGATCTAGCAATTTCCACACAAATATATGAAGTCTGTTCAATGTTAAAACCCGTCATTGGTTTCTTTCGCTCTTTTTTTTGAAGAAATAATCGGAATTGCAATATTCTTTATATATATATATATATATATATATATATATATATATATATATATATATATATATATATATATATATATATATATATATATATATAATTATTTGTGTGTTAGTATTGAATTCATTTTTATTTTATTTTTATTTCAATACATGTTATTGTAATGATAACTTTATTCATTGGATTTGACATTTTTCCAGAAAATTCAGTTCAGTTCTGTTAAACCTGATATACAAGCATTAGTAGAAACATTGTATCTTTTGGTGACCTAGATTCAGAGCCAGTTTTAGCTTTGGTGTAAACAACTTTTTTATTTTTATCAAGATTCGTTCAGTACATATAATCCATGTGTTCCCACCTCCGAGACTGTGTATACTCAGCCATTAGTGCGTATGGAAAGATGGAGCGGAAAAATACCGATTGGTATGAGGCCAGCTGGGAGGCTATGGAGCCAGTGACTGAGACGAAGAGGAAAGCCCTTCTGGCTTACAAGGCTGCGTCTAGCCCTACAAGCCCTCAGGATTGCCAGGAAAAAATGATCAGTGGACTGCCCGCCACTGCGCCAACACCTATTGGCTGAATCTCTGCACTAGCATACAAACAGCTGCTGACACTGGAGATGCAAGAGACATGTGCGAGGGCATCAAAAAGGCGACAGGTCCCTCATTTCTCAAGACCGCCCCCATCAAGTCCAAGACGAGAGTAATCATAACAGACCAGAATAAACAGCTGCAGTGCTTGGTTGAGCACTATCACGAACTGTGTGCAACCCAAACCGTCGTCACCAATACTGCCCGAAACGCCATCCTAAACCTGCCAATCATGGATGAACTAGACACTCCACCCTCCATGGAAGAGCTAAGTAAAGCCATCGGCTGTCTCGCTTTTGGGAAGGCACCCGGGAGTGACGGCATCCCACCTGAAATTTTCAAGAACGGGAAACCGGCACTACTTCAGCCCTTGCACGAACTCCTCTGCCTCTGTTGGGAACAGGGACACCTCTCCCAAGACATGCGGGATGCCAAAATCATCACTTTGTACAAAAACAAAGGAGACCGCAGCGACTTAACAACTATCGGGCATCTCCCTCCTCAGTATCGTCGGAAAGGCTTCCGCACGTGTCGCATTGGTACGCTTGCAGACTCTAGCCTCCCGTATCTACCCAGAATTCCAGTGTGGCTTCCGATCTGGCAGGTAAACTGTAGATGTGATCTTCTTCCTACGTCAACTGCAGGAGAAGTGTCATGAGCAGCAAATGCCCCTCTCACATTGCCTTCATAGACTTGACAAAGGCATTCGACCTGGTCAGCCGGAGCGGACTCTTCAAACCCCTGAAGAAGGTCGGTTGCCCCCCTTTGATTGCTCGCTGTCATCACATCGTTTCACCAGAACGCTCAATGCGCAGTGTGCTTTAACGGCGCAACATCAGAGGCCTTCCCAGTCAGCAGAGGAGTAAAGCAGGGTTGTGTCCTTGCACCACCCTTTTTTCCATCTTCTTCTCCGTGCTCCTCCAGTACGCCTTCAATGAATGCAGCGAAGGAGTGTACATTCACACCAGGGCAAATGGCAAACCGTTCAACATCAAACGTCTCCGTGCAAAGACCAAAGTCACAGAGGTTCTCATCCGTGAATTGCCCTTCGCAGACGATGCAGCTTTGACATCACATACGGAAGAAGGACTTCAGCAGCTGGTATGTCGCCTCTCCCACGCCTGTAAAGAGTTCGAACTGACCATCAGTTTGAAGAAGACGAATGTCACGGCGCAGGATGTAGACTCCCCTCCAACCATCACCATTGATGGGTACAACCTTGAAGTTGTTGAGAACTTTACATACCTAGGGTCTACCATCTCCAGCTAACTCTCCATTGATGCTGAGGTAAACGGCAGGATTGCTAAGGCATCAGTAGTTATGGAAAGACTAAACCAGAGGGTCTGGAATAATCTCAATCTCACTG